ACTTTCGTTTCTCATCAATCTTTAGTGCTACCGTTCTCCTCCCCTTCATCATCTCGGCTGGCGTTCTCCCCCGTCGGCTATGGGGTTGTCAGCCTCCGCCTCCGCCTCCGCCGCCCGCTCCCGCCCCCGCCGCGCCGTCGCACGACATTCTCCTCCTCTCGGTGAGAAAGTGAGCTGCCACCACTAGTACCCGCTGAACTCTCCCTGACTCTAGACTGGCACAACTGCCGCACCTGGCGCCAGTGGCGCCACACAAAGCTGCGGGCGGTAGCATGTGCGGCCGGCTTTTCCTGCGCCCTCTGCCTCTGATAACGTTCAAAAGCGTGAGCTGGAGAGACTGGCTACCGCGCACGTGGACCTGCGCGCCCGAGGTGCCCGCGCCAATTCGCTGGGCAGCGCGAAGTGCCCCCGCCAGCATTGCGGAACGCCCGAGGTGCCCTCGCCCTCTGCTCGGTAACTAAGGGCCTGGCTCCACTACACATTACTCTACACGCATTTGGAATCGCTCACGACTAGGTGCATTCCGACAAGTTCGCAGCCCGTCAGGGATGCGCTTTCACCCCCTGAGATGTGTATAAGAGACAGCCTCTGCCTTGACCGCCTCAACTACTCCTATGATCACTGATAACTCGTGGCTGCAAGGCCAGCCCCGGCGAGAGCGACCCCCCTGATGAAACCAAAAGAACCAGGAGGTCATAAACGGTCTACATTCATCAGTGGCCGTGCCTGTAAGGTGCACCATTTAAACCCTCCCACAACGGCACCTGGGGGGGGGTACGCTTCTGATTTAAATAAACCCCGGTACCTGCCGGGGGGGGGGTGGAGGGGGGCCACTTGTGATTTAAATCAACCCCTGGACCAGCGGGATCCAGACCTGGACACGAACGGAGCACAGCAGCAACACTATCCGATGCTGCTGCTGAATGTTCAGCTACCGGTAGCATGTCTGACGCATGCAGCTACCGGTAGTTCACTGATCTCTTCCTCCTATTCTTCTTCCTCACCATCCAACTCCTTTTCCCCCACCGTTGCCTCCTCCTCCTCCTCCTCCTCCTCCTCCTATTCATCATCATTATCTTGTAACGGCCCTCCTTATTTTCCCAAATTAGGCAAAACTAACTCCAATTTAAGGGGGGGGGGGGGGGGGGGGGGGGGGGGGGGGGAGGAGGGGGGGAAGGAGCCTCGGCATTCAATTTGACAGAGCAGTAGGGAAACAAGGAGACAGTCAGACCCTTCGGCTGCAGGCTGATCGGGAGCGAGAATTCTTGAGGAAAAAACTTGCTACTCGTCCTTGTACGCTTGTCCTCTCCATCCTTCATCAACTACCATCTCTATCCCTCAAATCCATCCCCCCTGCCCCCTTTTCTCTTTCCTTACAGATTTACAACCTACAAGTAACGCCAGTGCTGCTATGCCCGCACACATGGAAATATCGATCAGATATTCGGGGTCTCCACATAAACGA